CCTGCTTTAATAAAGACATACAATGTGATCATGTATTTTCAACTTTTTATCTGAATAAGTTGAAGAGGTATGTAGAGGGCAGGAGCATTGGAGAGAGACTAGGTAGATGTGTGGAGCAAAAGTTAGAAAATTTCCTTTAAGGAAATTTATAAAATTTATAAGCCATTAAGAAACCAAGTAAAACCTTTGTTGAAAAACCTAATAAAAAACGTTCATGCTAAAGAACAAAATCTGATGGCTTGTGTATTTGTTTTCTTTTACAAACATGAAACTGAAGTGATTTATTAGTAGACAATTGTTTCAAAGTAATAGCATTCTTTCTGTTTACAAAACAGAGAACCATTTTGTATCCTTTGATTTCTAGCACTCTGATCACAAATCATAAATCCGAGACTACAAAAGCAGAGTGGAAGATACTACAGCCTGGTACCTCTGCCTTCCAAGTATTACGATATTTGATTTTGATTTTAGAAAATTCTTCTTATACCTAAGATGTTACAGCCTGGTACCTCTGCCTTCCATGTATTACGATATTTGATTTTGATTTTAGAAAATACTTCTTATACCTAAGATGTATCAGTAAAGACTAACATGCCAGAGTATATAACGAAGAGGTTAATGTTCATGACGACCAGGTTTAAAATAATCCTATCTACAGAAAAGTATATATAAAAGTACTCCTAGATTAACACAAGATAAATACTAGGACTTAAAATATACATTGTAAAATAAACAATAATAGTAATAACAGATAACACTTAAATGATGCTTACTCTGTGCCAGGTATTATTCTGAAGTGCTTTTTAGATTATATATATTTTATATGTTAGCCAAACTATTTTTGCCACCATGGATAAATTGGAAGAATATCCGACAATCTCATTTAAATCTTAGAGATGTTGATTGTGCGTAAACCTTGAGGTATTTCACTAGATTTGGTTATATCATATAGATATAGCAATCTTACTCTCTCCTGAATATATTCTTATATTTTGTATGAAAATACAATTTCAATTCAGCTTCTGATTCCTGTAGGACTTATTGTTCAGGGAGAAAAAATAACAAAAATGCAAAAGTCATTGACCCTTGTCCCTCTCCTCCCCATGCTCTATTCTTCTTAATGAAAGCATTTTAAAGCTATTTGTATAAAATCTAGTACAATAGAAAGTAAAATTACCTGTCAAGCAAGACAAGAATTGGTCAAATTACAGAAATGTGAAGTTGCCATTTTCAGGTAATAATCGCCATATAAATAAAACTATACAAATCATTTAAGACAGACACTGAGTAAACCTAGAACACAACTATTATACCATTTTTACCTTTGCTAAAATTAGGTTACATAAATCATTACCCTCAATGAAAATTTTGTGGATCCTAATGCTGTAAAATGGAGGGGGGCGGGCGTGGGATAGTTTCCCATTGATTATTACTGACACACAAGTACTTGAAAACAGTCAATCTCTTGAAAAGGGAAACCAAATTTATCTTATCTAGCTTTTAGCCTCCCTCTCTATGCATTAGCCATACAGAGGCAAAGTTCATGCAACTCCTAGGGAAATGGACACATGGTAATTAATGGTGCCTAGTTTAGTAACAAGCATTAATATGAGCAAGCAAGCTAAGCTATTTCATAATTGAAAAGTATCTCTTAGAATATGAAAAATTAATTTTATTCTGCTGCAATTGTTCATTTTCTCAGTGGATAAGACCTGGAGGCCACATCTTCTAGTGACTGTGATCCTTATTAAGCATTCATTTAGAATTCTGTTAAAATACTCCTAAATCACTTTGCATTTTCACAGAATTGAAGCATTTGGAGATGCTGCACTTAATGCATAATATTTAATAAGGGAATATTAATACTGTACTGAATTTTTCATATTATCAAAAGGAATTCATTACAAATGCAAGGGAAATACAAAAATAATGATAAAAGGTCCCTGGATGACAGTTTAGATCTGATATAGTTATTTAAATTTAACTGCTAAGGTTTAAAAGAAAATTCTTTTAGAATTAAGATACGTTGTCTATATATTAAGTATGTAGATGTCAATTATATCTTTAAAAAAAAAGTCTCTGCTTTATTTGTTACAGTCATTAGCTACCTCTCCTCGAAAATAGACTTATAGTGGAATCTTTCTATATAAATGTATTATAATGGAAAGTTATATAAGCTTAATATTTTAGCCAAAAAGAAAAAAATAAACCATTTAGAGTATAATTATCTTAACTTTTGTATGTAGACTGAGAAATGCATGTCTATATATTATGTATAGTTATATATTATGGCTATGTAACACTAACATAACACATATATATATTATGTCAAAACCATCAACAGTTCCAAATAGATCTCCATTAATGTAAGCAAGTGTCAGCTAAGTTTTTTGGAAAAATAAGCATTTATATAAGATGTAATTTTTAAATGTTAATGTCTAAAATTAGAATATAAATAAGTTTTAGCAATTCCATTAATACTAATGTCTTATTTATCATCTTTCAAAGTTCATATTAATTAATAGTCTTTGTATAATTTTTCTTAATGTGGAATGGCTGTTAGAACTGTACTTCCACACACACGTTTATCTGTTGTTTATTTGTGTCTTGTTTTTAGCTCAGAATTTACACACTATATTTATAAACTTGTTTGTGTTTACTGGTCTAGCTCCCCTACAAGGTTTTAAGATATTCAAGGAAGAATAAATATATTCAGTAGGATTTGGTTTTGCATACTTATCACGTCTCTATTATGGGAGAGAGATCTGACTCTGAAAGAAATTACAGAAGAAAAGCAAGACCTATAAAAGGTTAATTTCATTGTGGGTGGTAACATAAATGCATTGTCATAATAGGGAGGTGCATAAGTTGAGGCCAAAATGAGGATCACCTGCTCCATCAGGGGATTCATGAAAGGCTTCCTAGAATTGGTGCCAAAGCTGTACCCTAAAGGCTAAGTAAATAAATCTGGCAAAGTAATGTGAGGAAGGCATTTTAGGCCAATGCAAAAAACATACATAGAGACCCAGGGGCATAAAAAGAGTATGATGTCTGTGGCATAATTATATGTACACAGATAGTACATGCTACAAAATGTCTGATGTGCTATGTGACCAGAGGTAGGGTTGAGGAAGAGAATGGTAGTCAGAACATCAAGGCTCTGCACGGATTATATTTTTTTCAGCCACAGGGAAAATTTTAAGCTTTTTCCTGCTTATTAATGGTTGCACCTAGCACAATGACTTGCTTGCACTTTTCCCAACAAAGTCAGAGATTATTTTTCCAGCTATAATCAACTTTAAATATTAATGAAATACAGAAGACTGTCAATGTAAATGATATCAAGAGCCAATCTGTTGGAAAATCTTCTAAAATGAAACTAAGGGTATTGATTCATAACTCAATGAGGTCTTGGTAAATAGTACAGAATGAATCAATAAGTGAGCCTGTGTCTCTGGGAAGGACCATGTGAGTATAAAAGAGTATTAAAAAGAGAAGAAGGAGGAAGAGGAGAATGGGGAGGGGAGGAGGAAAGGGAGAAGGAGAAGAAGGAGGAGAAAGAGAAGGAAGAGAGGAAAGAGGAGCAAGAGGAAGAGAAGACGCACAAGACTTCAAATTCAAAAATGTGGCAAGAGTTTTTCTGGGTCAGAACCTTCATTGATATCCTTCTCTCCATGTCATCCAAGGAAGTCTCACCTGGGCAGGTACACTTCCACTTTTTGCTTCTTCACTGAATTTGCCCATTCTTCAATCAGCTGTACTTTGACCAATGGCTCCAGAGTGGCCAGTGGAACTTCCTGTCTGGACAATACCAGCATCATACTTATCTCATCTCCCTCATATGGTATTTCCAGGACTTGGTAGATACCACCAGCTTCATTGGAGCCATCACTAAATTCCCCTGAAAAGAAAAGAAATGGGATAAAAGGCCCAAATCAAACCTTAAATAAAAGGTTTAAATTTGTTATAACGTTTTTCAAAATAGTGTATAGAAGAAATTTAGGCATCTGAGAAAAAGAAAGTTTATTTAAAAATAGACCTTGAAATTCAAGTGAATTCTCAGCCCTGCAGAATTTATTTTATTTTAGAATCCCCAGAATCATTTCACATTTGTAATAAAATGTTCTTTAGATTTACTTATTCATTTTTAAATGATACTACAAATGAATATAGACTTAAAGGATGTTATTAGAAACAATGAAAAGTTCTGGTTAGAAAATAAAGTCCTGGATCTAAGTTGGATAGAAATCACATTTAGCAATATCCACCTGATTTCTAAGAGCAGCAAAATTGCCCATGTAATACTTGGTACTCTATTAACACCACAGATAAAAATTTTGAAGCAAAGGTAGCACAGCCAAAATGAAATCTATTGTGTTCTACAATAGTTATCTAGTGTAGTTGTGGTGATTACGATCTTCAAATTAGGTAATTAGGTAAATTAGATAATTGGCTTTGTGTGCTATGAACTTAGCTAAATTGACTAGGCTTTCAAAAAAATTAAAAAGTCTTTAAAACAAATGTTCCTGTTACTACTTTAAAATTTCCGCCATTAAAAAAAAAGTAATGAATATTTTTTGTTATGAATATTTTCCTATAATTGATCTAGATCCTTCACAATATACACATCACATTAAATATTTTGGTTCTCAAATAAATTGGTGTTTCCCTTTCTTATTTTAACTGTTAATTTGATTAACTTTGATTATAATCTTTAATTTTACAGTGCATTTTTAAATAGAAAAAACTACTAACATATACTTAGCTTATAATTACACTTCTGCTTATGACAACAAACTATTACAGTTCAACATAGTGTATAGGAAGGATTAACACCCAAAACTTCTGAAAAGTTCAATGAAACATTTTTGAAAATAATGCCAAGGTTATTGAGTGGTATCACAAATTATAGACCCTCAATAAATGAAACTATGAATGAATAATTATATCTGACCATACATATGCAAATCTGAAAGCAAAATTTTAAAGAAATAATTATAATTCAAAAAGTTGTGAGGAATCCATATCAAGAGCTGGGTAGAACATATGGTTCAATGAAAACCACCCCAAAGCCAATGACTTTTTATAGTAACTCAGTGTACTTATACACGGTCAGGTATTTTCATATGAATAAAGCCACTCTGCAGGTGTGATTAAATTTATAAATTAAAGACATATATTGGAAAGCTGTCAATGCACATAATATTCATTCAGGATCTAATTAGAGGCCTTTAAAAATGGAGCCAAGGAAGTTATAGCCCAAACTAGATTGACAAGAAATTTAAGTAATGAATATTTCATGTTCTTTCTTAGAAATTTGTTGATATATTGCAAGGAGAGAGAAATATAAGCCAAAATGTCTTACCATAATAAAATTCTCCTTGTTGATACATCATTGGAATTTGGACTTCACTTTCATCATCTTTAGTGAAGGAAAAGGTTCTAGTGTTTTCTGGTCTAAATTGTGACTTCCAGTTCCCCTTGAAATAGACAGCGTTGATGAGGGCCAAATGAGTGACAGTGTCAAAATCCCTTGGGGATACCAAATCTTTCAACAAACCTATTTAAGAAAAATAAATGAATGAAAATTCAAATTAAATTGGAAGGTGAAAGGGAACCATCTGATAGAGTGATCCAGAAAAACTACCATTATCAAATTTACAATATAAATTAAAAGGATCTTACTTTCAAAGGAAAAGTTATACATACACACATAATTATAGATTAAGGGCATCTTAGATACCCACACTACCTAAAATAACACTAGTCGCATCTTGAAAGTTGAACAAACTACATAACCAGATACAACAGACTCTCAGGGTTCACCCCTTCCTAGTGCAATGATTTATATAAAACTCTTAACACAGAGTAAGCACTCAAACTATTCTAAGTTTATTTTTGAACAGTGTTACATGATTAAAATGCTATCCAATTCAAAAGCCCCCCCCATGTATACTAGATATCTTTCTACCAAATATAATAACTGTTTTGATTAGATGAAAACAGATTAATGAAAGCTAATTTAACTCATGATGCCTTATCTTCTCTCATTTGAAAAGTTTCTTTCCAAATCTATTTTGATTGTTAAATGTTTAAAAAGAGTTTGGAAACAGTTTTTAATAATTCAATCTATTCCAGGTAGATGATTATTTTTTATTTATTCTTTGCTAAAAAAAAAAAAATAGGTAAGTTTCCTTTAACCTACATTCCAATCTCATAGTTAAAAAAGTGATCTCGTGAAAATGATTATAGTGGAACATCATCTCACAGTGAAAATGACAGGACAATATTTTGCTCTGTATTCTCTTATTAATCATAGTACTTCTGTAGGTGCTTAAGAAAGTACTTCAGCATTTTGAAGATTATGGGACATAAGATTTTTCTTGTTCCTGTTGTTCCAACATAAAACTTATTAGATTAAATTAATATTATTTTGGGAGTCTGACAATATAAATTAATTTAATGAACTGTTGAAGTAATCTACTTTCAATTCGGTCTCATTTTCTAGATTCTAATTTTAATTACTTTTGTGGTAAAATTGGAAAATAAAATGATAAAATACGAAACATTTGGAAAACTTAAATACATTTAAAACTTATGAATTCGAAATAAATTTAAAATTAATGCATCTTTCTAATTTCTCTCCATTTAATTGCCTTAAAATGGGCTACTCTTTAAAGGAAGCCTATACAATATTTTGATTACCAGTCAAGTTCTGTGGTTTAAAAGCCAACAAATATTTAAACTCTGACTTTTAATTCTTATTCTGTTTTAATTCTAAGAGCCACCAACTGCCATTTTAATTAATGTCTAATTTATCAAATAATTAGCTCACACAAGATTCCATATAGTAACTAAGATTACTATACAGAAGAAACTTATCAACTGGAGAGCAGACTAGTTTATCAGTGCCAAAATTCAATACATACCAAAAGAGTTAACTGCTTTATCAAATGTTTACTCATAAATAATGCTTCTAAAAAGACTTTAATCTATACAAAATAATTATTAGCTACTCAACTAAATGCTATCCAACATTCAACATGCAAAAGGAATGTGGGGACAAATAATTTCAGAAGTTAGAGAGAATTAAACCTAAGCTATTCAAGAAAGCAAAGAACCAAATGACATACTATTTGTGTTATTCTCCACCCACTTATTGATGTGGTTGGCCACAGCAATATTTTGACTGAAGTCCACATGATTTACTTCTGCATTAAAATATTTTTTCATCATTTGCAAAAACTCATCATTGACATGAAATCCATTTTGCACGAAGAGGGAATTGGCAATTTTCATCACATACTGGCTCTCTTCAGCAGTTACCATGTTAGAAAAATCCTTCATGAAAGAAAATTCTTCACCTGCAAAATGACAAAGAATAAGTTCATTAATGGAACAAACACAGTGAAAGATCCAGGAAGGTGAAGAAGCAGTAAAAACACAGCATGGGGATGAATAGAAAAGAGGCCCAAGGGGAGAGCACTAGCTTATTCCCCACAGTGACATGGTGAGGAGGTTCTAATATTTAGGCAATTTCCAGATAATAAAATTTTAACTTTTTTGTAGCTTAATATTATCAACTGATATTATTTTTCATTTTAATTGATATATTGGTAAAATCTATAAAGAGTTTTCGGTTTTCCTTCAAAGTACTTAGGTTACTTTCATTAAATTAGTCTTATTTTATGTTTATCAGGAATAAGAATTAAGTTCGATTATCTAGTTTAAAAATCAAATTATCTAAATTTACTTTTACTAGACATTTTTAACCTTATAACTAGAAAATCTATTAGAGATTGTATTAGTTCTTAACTTTTTAGAGTTAATTCACATGTATATTAGAAACATTAAAACAGAAATCTTTTATCATGTCAAAGTGACTACAAAATATCTTTAGGCTTAAAATTTTCTCCAATACATATAATTTCATAGTTGCACAACATTAAAAAAATTTTTTGATGCTATTTAAACAATGAAGACATAGTTGATTTTAAGGAAAAATTTCTGATATTCTTAGAGAATCATGTTGCTTTTCATTGTAGCACTATTCACAGTTGTAATTTTTCATTTGTTTGTGTGATAATTGATTGATTAATGTATGTCTCTCCCTCTAGACTAGAAACTCCATCAGGGCAAGAACCATGTTTGCTTTTGTTTACCACAGCGAAGTTTATTTAAATAATAATAATAAAATAATAATAAAAATAATACATTTTTCATAAATTAACTCAGCCAGGGATAAAACAGGAATTAACACCTTTCCTGGGTTTCCTAATGCTTCTCCAAGCCATACCATTTCAATAAGATTACTTTCTCACCCTCTGTCAACAATGCTGCCTCTGGCAGAAGACAACATAACTGAGTTGAAAGTTAAAGTCAAAGCATCCTGAGAAATCAAACTGAAGCACACTTACCGTTTTTCAGACTGTCATATCCCATTGAATGACGGATTTCTTTCAGGGTAGAGCCTTGGGCCCCAAGTTCCATCATTCCCATTGCAAGGGTGATGCTTAATGGAGAGAAAAGAATATTTTCATCTTCCCCAGTGGCTCGAAGATGATTATACATATTCACTGACAACTCAGTGATGGTTTCATCAGGGGAAGTGGCCCCTAAAGCCAAACTTTGCAGAACCAGCAAAGAGAGGAGTCCAAGAAAAGCCATGTTGGAATAGTTTCAAGCCTGGAAAACAATAATTTGCATATTAATTTTTAACTGCCCCAGAGAAACTGAGTGAACAGTGAAACATATATGTATACAAGGATATATATACATATATATATACATATGAATTATTTCTTGGCAAAGTTGTAAAGCAAACCAAAAGTTTTTAAACATATACAGTGTTAATATCTCTGTAACAAAAGCCCAAAGGATATATTGGAAGTCCTATTTTTAAAAAGTCAATTAATAGTCAAATGAACAAATACTATTGCTAAGTTCTGAGGTTACTCCGCAGCACAAGATAGCCCTGGGCCCCACTTTCATGGAGTTAAGAGTATGTACAGATACATACACAACAAATAATTATAGGTCATGTTTGTCGAGGCTAATTTATCAATTTTTCATAGCCTAGCCATATATATTTTTATCATTTTGAAACAGTTTATTCTAGCTTATACTAAACTACATAGGTCTAGGACAGCTATATTGAAAATCAAAAGATATTTATAGAGTTTAAGATGAACTAGTGAAGTTAGGTATTAGAAAATGCCACATTATCTATTTACTACGATTGATAAAAATTAATGCATCATGCAGCTGGGCTATTAACTGGTGGGAAAGATCAGACACGCCTTCTATGAGCACCAGTTTATTCAGCTCAGGCTGCAGAAACCACAGGAAATGGTAACCCCAGAGAAAGAGGCAGATTTAGCACGCCTTGTGTGGTTTTCCCTTACACATCAGTTCCCTATGAGGCTGCTGCTCCCAGGGCCAATCTGAGCAGAGAGAAACCTACAACACTGTCCTTTTAAATTCTGGATTATGTTACCATGTCAGTTTATACCAACAAACTGGCAGTTCTACTTGGATGACTATTTCTAAATATCGAGTTCATCTGGTTCTTGAACTGTTTTCTCTTGGAAAGAAAAAGCAGTGTCAGTGCCTAGATATCTCTGAATAATATTTCTGCCTCCTGGCACACCAGTGTTTCAAAAGCCCTGTCTCTCCACAGACAGCCTGTCTAGCTGGGGATGCACTGGGGACAGGATTCCCTCTTTTCCTATATCTTTATTCTTTGTCACTGTAGGCATCTGAAAGCTAAACTGCTTATTTAAACAAATAAGTAGCTTACTTGTTTTTGATATTTTTAAAAAATCATCATTAAAACATGTGAAAAACATGTAAATTGATGTTGAGCAAACACATTTGGAAAATTGTATTTTAATTAGTATAGTACACTAACTGTCCCCATTACTCAGTTAACAGAGTGTATACACACTTAAGAGCAGTGTGTTTCCAACAGGCTTTTGAGTCACAACTTCCTAATCATTCCTGTAATATTTTTAATTCCAATTTCAGAGAACTGCCTGGCCATTTTGTAAGTCATCCACATTTTAGGTATTAGTTTTAGGTATTAGTTTTTTGACTAAGAAGTTCTAAGTTTCTGCCCACCCCCTTTTGTATTAAGCTTTTAATATTACTCGCTTGTTTAGGTAGGTAAGGTCAGCCTGTGTGTAAATATGGATGCTCATGACCCAGGCTGTGAGGAGGCAAAGGCTGGTTGCTGCAGGGAATCAAGTGCACTGCTACAGAACAGCATCTGTCAAGCATACCACATTGGAACAGAAGCCTTGGGACAGAAGTCAGGTGCCAAGAGAGCACAGCTGCCATGCTAGTCTGCTGACTCTGGCCATCCACGAGAGGTTGCCGTGGGATTCTCTCTTCCTTTTCTACTCTAGAGAACTCCAGGAAATGTAGAAGTAGGAGAGATGAATTTTCTCTTTTTAGATTCAGATGGAAACTTCATAGGGACACTTTTAAGTGGACAGACAACTTAAAACATATCCAGGATTTAATACTTAGGATGGAATACTCTTTAGGGGAACTTTGGAATCCAAGTGAGATCCAAAAGCCTGTACTCTTAATCGTGACACTATACTGCTGTCAGATATGCTGTCTTAACTTCCACCCTAAAATACCCAAATCTGGGCCTCATTACTATCATTTAATGTTATCTAGTATAAGACCAAGAAATTAAAGTCACTATATGATAGTAGCATCTGTCATTCAATAATACAGCTATTTGGAAACCAGTGCATTTAATATGAGTATCAAATTTCAGGCTAATAAAAAGATTTCATTCATGTAAAACAAAAACCAACTTACTACCAACTAATAAGAATTCCAGGAAACAAAGCCAAGTCTATTATGTTCATGGGCATTTTTATTTACAAATGAATTTACCATGAGATAATAGTAATAGCAAATATATGATGTATGATGTTCAGCAAGTCATATGTATTTTCTCGGTCGTAGCTTTCTCATTCTTGAAATGAAGATACTAATCCCTATTCTGCATTAATATTAAAGAAATAAATGAGATCATGTGTCATCTTTAAACTACAAGTTATACTAATAAAGGACATTAGATGAGTTAGAAAACATGTTTCCTAGTTACATACATTTGCTAAGTCAAGTAAGAGGCTACTGAGCCGAAATGAGTGTTTTATCATTCCTGTTGGCCCATCAAATATAGCACCATTAGTTCTTCATTCAATTAAGATTGATAGAGGTACCATGAAAATAACAAAATTTGTAAGGACAGGCTCTTATCCTCAAGGAACTCACATCACTATCTAAGAGTATGACCTATTACAATGGTTCTTATCTATTTAAGAAAAGAGACTCATAAGAATCAGAAGGGTAAATCATGTCTTCTGAAAAATGCATGCACACAGATAACAGAACACTGCATTCACTGGCCGTGATAGTCACTGGCTTCAGGTTAGAAACCCCTGGCTACAGTAGATGGTCCAGATGCAAAAAGTAAGCAATGTTTGATGGACCTTCAGCTTGGCAGAATTCCCTTACTGTGGAAAAGAGATGCCAAAACTACTAATGTATCTTTGGGCTTCTAGAGGAGTCCTGGAAAGAGCACCCATGTTTGTGAGAGGGGCTCATCCCAGGGAAGTGAGCAGCTGCCCACTGATTTATATATTCTACGAGGAAATTAGGAGTAGGATGGCTGAGTGGTGGGAATAGGTCATATTAGGAAACTCCTTAGTAAAGATTTAAAGAAGCTTGCTCTGGAAGCATATATATCTATAGTTAAGTAATCTTTTCTCCTTTTGAAGGCTAGATTTCCAGTGGACAAGCAAAATGACCTCTGCTAGCCTGGTCCAGTCTTTCTGATCCCACCTACTCCATCCTTGATCCTTGCCCCGCTTCAATTCTGCTGCCTCTGTCTACTCTTTCAAGTATTTTTTTTCCGGGAGAGGGGAAGATTTTCTTTCTACCTTCTACCTTCTATGTGTAGGTGTTCTCCATGGATCTATTCCTGGTCTTCTTTTCTCCATAATGTTCTTCTCACTCCTGCTGGTGAACTTCTCTCAAAGCAAAGATACTTCAACTATTATTCCTATCATGTTATTCCCAAATAAATGAAATTCTAACTCTGGCTTTATTTTTGTCTTAATTTCTGACGAGTATTGCAAATTGTTCTTGGGAGATTTAGTCTTTGACCCTTGCCAGCATTTCAAATCTAAGGTGGCTCAAACAGGACTCTGTCTTATCAATTAACCCCATTCTTTTTTTTTTAAACATCAAAATCGATCTTGTTTTCCCTTATGTTCAATAAACTGTCAACACTTATTCCATACTGCGACCCTGACACCACCTATCCATCATCCATGGTCATTACCATGGCTATACTAACAGTTCTTACTTTTAATGCTTTCTCAAGGACTTCACTAATAGCTCTCAGCCATTCCCTGAACCCTAGTTACTACCCTCTTCAATCCAACATATACATACACTTCAAATGAATTGTCTTGATGTACTGTTATGAATAGGTATTTCTATATTTATAAAACTCCAGGATCTCCCTCTAGATGAAAGCTCAAAATCTTAGTCTCAAACATAATTCACTGGACTGTGAACAGGCATAACTTACTACCCACAACTCTCCTTTATGAATCCTGCAATTTTAGCCAGACTCCTTCTGGTAATACATGTCCCAGAATTTCCTTCTGTTGCTGGCTTGTACAGTTCTTTTTCTGAAGCTACTTCAACCTGGTTCCATATTTTCAAATCTCAACCATTCCTCCAGGTTCTGCTCCACTTCCATTTCCTTCATGAATACTCTCCTGGTTCTTCAGTTAAAAGAGCAATTTCTCTCTTCTGAAATCATGGCACATTTTATCTCTACCAGAGCACATAACACTGCTTCCATTACAGGTAATTCTACACATGCATCATCTCTTTTCCTAGACTTTGTGAAAGCACAAATGGAAGTACTTTCATTTTTGTATATCTTAAGATAATCAGAATAAGAACCTAATGCACTATACACGGTAGGTGACAAATAAATATTTGTTGAATTAATAAAGCATGAGATGTAAAGGACTGCAATGCTGCATTAGAAAAAACAGCAAGAGAAGCTATTGCTTCTAAATTCTCAAGAGTAATTTAATCTGAGCCCACAGGTAGTTCCTCATTTCCATTTTTTATTCCTTTTGATAAAGTGTTTCCTTATTGAGTCTGAGACTATCTTTCCAGCCTGACGAAGTGGCGCTGTCATTAATGCTGGCATTATGCAATGCTGGACATGGGATGCATTAGCAAACAAGTACACCACTTTGAAAAATCACAAAAGGTGCTACCCAAATGTTACTGTATTAACATTAGTCTACAAAATGCCAGGGACCCACCATTAATCATGATACATTCTAAAATGAGTTCCTCTAACATAGAGCATGCTTTGTAGATTCATTATTTTTAAGCTACTGAATAAAATGCCTTTACATAAAAAACAAGAGGCTGCAGTACTAGAATAGTAATAGATAACAATTTTGTGCTAGAAAAGACAGAAGTAGTTGAGCTGTAAACAAACTACCATTAATTCTTGCATTTCTGTGCCTCGTTGCCAGTGGTAGGATAAGTTGTGGCACTGTATGTATGTATACTGCTTTAGTCCTAAAAGCAGGACATGCTTCATTGAAACGGGTCAGGGAACTAAA